ATTATTTTTTTGAAAAAATAAATTCCCTAATTACAAGAATTAAACACTTAGGAACTATTAATGAAAAATAAATAAATAAAAAAATACTCGTAATTTTTAAACTGTACTTACTGCGCCGGCGTACGAAGATCTGGCGTCGTGTTATCCGACGAGACCGATGTCCCTCTCTCGACAGCTGAGAGTCGCCCTTCGACTACTTCCCTGCTTCTCGTAAATCTTCTGGTTTCGATTAAAAAGATACAATAAGTGGCGAAGATCAAGCAATCTACCAATTCCATTAAAGAGGGAGAGAACACAGAGAAATGATCCTACCTGTAGTGAAGCTAGGAACTCTTTTTCTAAAAGCCATATGCAAACCTGTTGCTAATCGGCTCAAGAAAGAGGCTGGATTTCACCCTAAGTTTCGCCAGCTGATCATTAACATCGCCCAGGTCTATTTCTTTTTCTCATCTCGTCTTCAATTCGTTTTGATAATCGTTTTTACCTTAACTTGGTTATGCTAGTAATAATGTTGAGCTGATCATCGAAGCACCTTTATGCCTTGCTTATATGTTTCACCTTGAATAGTCTGTGTGTGGAATGGTGCCCGCCGGGATCTGCTGGTCTTACATTGTTTTGTGTCAATTTGTTGGATAATAAATTAAGTGTTCATGCTTTTTTGTTTATTAAACTACGGAAGGAACCTGCCCTAGACTGTTGTTTAGTTTGAAATTAATAATTGTTAATTATGTCTGAACATTTTTTATACATCATTATGGAAATTCTCCTGTCATGTTTCTATGTATAAAATTAACCGTGGTAGTCCTTGTCACATTTTCAACTTACATAAGCATGTGCATGTTGTGACTGTTGTTTCTTCTTTAATGACCCACTTCTCTGTTCTCCAGGCGCCAATTATATTAGTTAATTCGGGTTATGAAAATTTGACTATGTATTCCGCAATATTCTAACATTATCTATGTCATTAGCTTTTGTAAGGCTACACATTGAAGCACGTTATTATGACAATTCTAAACTTTAGTGAGGGATGTGATTTATTAAACAAAAATTACTTATATCACAACTTAGTGAGTTTAGAACAAAACATTTTCTTACTTTTTTAATCTTGAAATACACAATACTAAAAATTTGCAGCCGCGGAAGTTTTGCGTGGAAATAGTAGAAACTCTCCCGTTGAACTTAAACTTTTGAACACATTTGGCTGTAACCTTTTGCAAACCCATAACAAATGACATGTACCACAGTTGAGATGGCCCTTTCTTATTTATTATAACTTGCTGGAATTAACAGAAGATATGTGGTGAGTATGACAGTCTCTGTAGAGATCCTACACGTTGAAATTGATAGGGAAAGCCAGAAAAAAAAATAAAAATTTTAGGGTTTTACCGTGATGCTGTCAGCAGTACTTATAATATCAGGTATCTTCATGCAAATCTATCGTGTTTGCCATTGCAATGTTTAATCCCTTTGGAGATCTGGTGACTGTATGATGCCATTTTTCACTTGAGCACGCAGTTAAGGAGCATCAGGTTTATACTTAATTTTGGCTGGCCCATTTCATGGCTATTGAACCATAAGCTTCACCTTATTGTTCATAAAAGAAAGCGGGCCTAACTCCGGCATAGTTACTAGATAGTAGATACTACTATGTCTCTCAATATTGATCATCAAATGTGGGTACGTTAGAAATTAGAATAATTGTGGTCCTAAGTGTCCAATAAAAATTCTGATAAAGTTAACTACGAGCGCTTTTTAGCCTCTTAGAATCTTCATGATCACTTCACTCCATAGTCAATTCCTGTCTAACCTTTTCTTGTTTTTGAGTAAGGTTGAGAAAATGCATTCTACAATTATGGACTGACCATTTTTTTACACTACTTGTTTTGTTTCTGTACTATATCTCTCTGGGATTCGTTTTTTTTGTGGGCTTGGCTGTTTCTTCATCTGTATTGTCGGTGTTGATTTGTCCCTCTGTTTGTCCTGCTGTCATGTATAATGTTATTTAAGGTTTTATTCTTAAAAGGAAGAAGAATTTTTTTTAATGCCAATAACAGGCCTTTAAAATGTGGTTTCAGTTCTTGCAATGACTAATTTTTACTTATTTTGAAATAAAAACCACATGCTCCTTTATAATGATGGATCAGGCAAATCATCGTTTTACAACTAGAATCCAAAGACGCATTTATGGTCATGATACTGATGTAGCAATACGTCCTCTGAACGAGGAAAAAGCTATTCAAGCTGCTGCAGATCTTCTTGGGGAGCTATTTGTATTCACGGTAACATAATTTCTGATTTTACTACACTCTGGAAATGATTTGAAGATGACAGTAAATAATTTTTTATATGTTATAACAATGAATACCTGACTGTAATTTCTTTAGCCATGATCTCACATGCCCTATTGTGAAAGAGAATTTTTTTTCAGGTAGATGTTCTTGTGGCCAGATTTTGGAACCTGGTGTCTGGTAGTGAGGCTCCTTATTCTGGTTGTATTTTCTGTGTGCATAAAATGGGAATCTAGCCATCAAATTGGCTTTCTGACTCTAACTGCACATAACATAGGTTTTCTGGTTATCCACTTAAGAATTGATGTTTCCTTATGGTCTTCATTTCATATCGATGCCAGTATCGGAGAGCATCTTAGGAGTTGGATTCACATCATAGTGATCCGGGTCATGTGAAACATTTTTTGCATCTTTTGTAGTTTAGCACGCATAAATCCATGGGACTCGGACCTCATGAATTTTCACCCCATTTGTAATCTATACTTGGTATATATGCATATACATGGTGCGGTGGGATGGAAAGTCTGCCATCTTCATCTAGTGCTACTCATCCTTAAAACTTAATTGCGGCATAGATGCCTTCGGAAATTGTGGTTTCTTTTCCTTTGACATTGTAATATTTTTTTCTTTTAGATTTATGCTCAATGTAAAATGTTCTATTGGAGGAAAAGTTTCATACAAATTATTTGGGGAAAAGGTAAAAAAGAAAATGTATTAGTATACTAGTGTTTTTCAAGTGAACCAAAACTGAAAAGTAACAATTATTTTCAAATTAATTTTAAATTAAAATACAATAACTTGATTTCAATTTTCAGCACTTTGATAAATATATTTATAATTTTACTATAATCACTGACATCTCAAAATATAAAATGTCCATGTGAAACTTACATATAAAAAGGAACCTATGTGTAACTTGCTGAGAGCTAGTAATTTCAGATAGATCCAAAATCTGAATAGCAGAAGCTTTTTGCAAGATTCATGAGTTTTATTTTTTCTCTTCCATAAGTTTCTGATCTTTTGGTTTTGTTAGATTCTCAGGCCCTCAACCAATCATATTCTCGAACTTATTAATATATCTTTCCATAATTGAATATAAGTACTTGAACCAATGATTGATGTTGCTCCTTTATTTGATTTGCATGGCATTCATAAAATGTTCTATCCATTGTATTATGCCCTCATGTGCATATCTTCTTAAGGGTTTTGTAAATGGACTTCAATTAGATGATCTCTTCTACTAGACCTTTGTCACTGCATGAAGTTAACTTCATTACCTAATAACTTGTTACCAAACATTTCCTGTTATCTGTCCTTAGGTTGCTGGAGCTGCTGTTATTTTTGAGGTGCAAAGAAGTGCCCGGTCAGAAGCAAGAAAGGAGGAGCTGCGCAAACAGGAACTGGAGGTAGAATTTTTTCTTCTTTGATGTAGATCTTATTACTTTTATATGCTAATGCATTTTGGCAGCATCATTTAAATTTTTTTCATTATTATCTTTGTTGTTTCCTTTTACTTCTTCTTTGTGAAGTTTTATTCCCTTGCTATATCCTGGTAATTCTTCTTTGTGAAGTTTTATGCCCTTGCTATATCTTGGTTTGGAGAGGAAAAAAAGATGAGTGAGCAGATGAAAGATGCAACCAAAGCCATATGACAATAGAAAGTAAATGCTCCCTGGTCAGTCCAGTACTAAATTTTTTGCAACCTATCTGAAGTAGGGTAGACCTAATTGTTGGTTAGTGAACCTTCGTAGTCAACATTCCAATGGCTAACGTATAAATACTTGGGTTCATAGACTCCTCATCCAAAAGCTAAAGAATTTTCATCAAATTAAGTATTAAATCCATCTATATATATATACATATACATATCTACTGGATTACTCATCCAGGTATAGTAAATTACATTGGGATAAAACAAGTTACAACTATCAAATGCATTTTTGTGAATATCATGAATCCCAAAATTTAGCATCATCTTCTTCTTTTGGACTTCCTTCATAGAGATTGAAGACATCAGCCACAAAATCTGGGATTGAACACATTATGCTTAAAAGCTGCATGAGAGATTTCAATTAAAATCCATCAGAGTCTTAGATCAATCTCTTTTGATATACCTGTCTTCAATACTAAACATTTTGACACAATGGCATTTTGACACAAAGGTTGATTAACCTTTTAATTAATAGAAGTAGAATGTATTTGTGGAGGCAACAAGGATGCTGCCCAAATTCAAAATTGATGAGAAGACAAAGATGCAAGAATCTAGATAGTTCTCCTTTGATCATGAATGAAAATACCGTTTGCCCATATAGAGTATGCATCCATCTATTTTTTATGGGCAGAATAGCTCTCCTATTAATCTCTGACTGGATCGAGACAGTACCATGACTTGGTACAAAGAGCTGGATATCACAACAGATGCTGGGCCATCCAGTGCCTGTGTGCTGGTAGGAGCTGGATGCCAAATTAATGTTCTCTTAGATTGGTAATCAGCAAATGTCCTTTTCATATTGACTTTAGTTTGGGTTCAGCTTGTCATCCACTCTATTCAGGCCTATTATTACAACTAAAATGCAAGTCTATATCATTTCCTTAAAATACAAAACTGAAGATACACGTGGATGGAGCTTTTGTGTAACCTAAATGGAATTCTGAAGTTCTAGTGTGTTTGGAGATGATTTGTGCTTGCACTTTATTTATTACTCTGGACCTTGGACCAAAGAGATTATGACTTTGACAACTGTTCCTGGAAGAGGAGATACTTTAATCGTTCTTTTTCATCCTTGATCCTAGGGTAGTAACAACTAACCTCTGATCCCTGGATATGAGGTTAACATGTGGAAGATACTTTGGATGTATGTGTCTTTCCTTACTATGGTGATTTAGTATTCTTCAGGGAGATTAATATATGGTTTCTGCATGGCTTCTAATATGAGGCATAGAATGCGAGGAAGTTGGCTGGTGTTATTTTCTGGTTATTGTTATGTTAGATATAAATAATAATGCTGTATATTTTCTTATCAGCTTTAGCTGTTGGATAATTGAGTTAGTCACAAACAAATTTTTTTACAAGGTATTGCCGTTCTCTACCCCTATTTGATAGATGTGAATCTATGGAGAACTATTCAAATCGAAACATGTTTTGTATAAGATATCTTGCTTTGGAGATGTGTTGTAGTCAATTATTTGGACTGACAACCATTTGAATAAGCATAGGAATGAAACATATAAAGTGTCATGGATTCTACAGCGAGTTGGGAGCTCAGACTCTCATTAATCCATACTTTAAAAAGTTCATGGTTTCAGTGTTGACAGTTTAATTGTTATAATTATGTGAAAGAAATAGTCTATGGTTTTTACAGAAGGTACTCACAAGAAAAATAAGAATAATTTCCCGTGTTGTCAGAAGTAGAACAGGAAAACTATGACTAGAAATTTACGAGTAACAACTGTATGGAAAAAAGGTATATAACTGTTATTTCTGCCAGATAAAGTGCATTTAAAATAATACCTAACGATCTCTTGATTATATGTTTGATAAACAATGTTTTGAAATCTATTTTTTCAGGCCATGAAACAGAGGGATGAAGACTTAGCCAGAGAAATTGAACTACTCAAACAAAAGCTTGAAGAGCTAGAACACCTTGCCAGAGCACGGGGTCTCACTGGCTTATTTGAATTCAGGCATGCCCATGCCACAGACAATAGCAAAATAGTGCCATCATGATTACTATAGATATTTGAACCCCAAATTTCTGTATAAGCGCTCACCCACTCTGAATTTTTGGGACAATACACCATACAACCACATAATAATGTAACTTTACCCCTAGCCTAATCAGAGAGCACAGCAGTGACTTGTCATGAACATGAAGTGTATATTCTGAAGTGTACACACACATATATTTTCTCCCTTTCTCTTTTCCCCCTTTTTTTATTGAAGGAAGATTTCCTCTTGTAATTTGTTATTCTGGTCTGTAGTCTTGCCTTCCTCTCTTCTTTTTCAGTTTTTCAATGGCTGCCAAGGAGCTTCTTAAAGTTCAAACACTTTTCATTTCGGGAAATAGAGGAGACATATCCGTCGTACATACGATATGAGACTACAATAATCAGTTGACTTGCCCCATTGATACTTTATCCCTGATGGATTGATAGATTTCTATTATTAATTTTATTTTAGGTCGAGATCTTATTTTTATATCAACATTAAATATACTTATAAGATGGATATAATGTATATATTAAAAAAAATTATTAAAATGAAAGGATTGATTACTATTAACGAATTTTTTTTTTAATTTATATCATTTATTATTGAATTATATTTGATTTATTTTTATTTAATTTTTAAAAATTAATTATTTAATATATAAAAATTAATCATAATATTGAATACTAATTAAATTAAAAATTATATTATAATTAATTAAATTGATCAAATTTAACAAAAAAATTAAAAAGCAATTTTCATTTAATATTATGTCATTAAGGTAAACCACTCTTTACTAATGGGTAAAAGCATTGTATTTTTGATAATTTTTCTATCACCACATAAATTTTTTAAAAAATGAAATACAGTATAACGTTAATTTTGTTTTTTTTTTTTTTAATAATTATTTTTAAAATAGAGTAAAATGAAAATAATTTTTATATTTAATATCCTACAACTATTTTTCTTTTCAATTAGGCCCATGCTTGAGTACTTAAATTAAAATATAAAGAAATAGGAGGATCAACTGAATAAATTTTGAAAAATTGGAGGTTTTAGAATTAAATTGGTTGTTACGGCTAATAAACTCTTACACCTGTATATCATTTTATTTCTCATTTCCTCTTTCCTAGCTGCATGAATCTTTATCTTCTGTATCCAAAGCTTGCTCAGTCTTCTGAAAGCAAGGATTTTTGGAATTATTCAGGTAATTTCTTTTTAGATTTTTTTTTTTTTTGGGTTTGATTTTCTGTCAGTGTCTTTCCTCGTTCCTTGTCTTTCGTTCTGATAAGATTTAGGGGAATGGGTTTTAGGGTTTTTAGCCTTTTCAGAGTTTGGAACAACTTTGGCGGACGGCTGGAACATCAGTTTACAGAAATCGGCTACATTGATATTTGGGATTTTGGTTACTGCGAAAATGAGGAAAATTCTTTACTTCTTATGTCGTATCGCAAATGCCTTCGTGTATTTACTGTGTCAAGAATTTGGCAATGTTAAAACCCAATTCATGGGAATTATCTTGTTTCCGTATCTACTTTGTAGGCTTAGTCGTTTGAATTTTAAACCCAATAGTATTTTGTTTATTTTTCTGCTGACCACGATTAATTTGCTATCCAATTGAGGGGCTACAAGCGATGAATTTGGAAATTTAGTTTCATAGATTATCTTGCACTTTTCCCTGAAATCAACGCAGAGCATTAATATGAAATTCATGTTCTTTTGGTTCTCTTTTTTCTTCTCTACTTTTCTTTTCCCCTTGGTAGACTGTTGAAAGTTTTTTCGGATTTATCAGGAATTTGAGCAGAGCGGCTGAATGAAAAACCATCCGAGGAGCAAATGTACCTCTATATCTCACCAGACTTTAATAGACAATGCAAAGAACCGGGTCAGTGATCTTCAAGAAAGATTCACTAATCTTCAAGCTGCCAGGACGGAGGGCCGAATCGGTGATGTTGCTGTCTTGGAGGAGCAAGTCTACCAAAGTCTTCGCGAGTGGAAGGCCGAGCTTAATGCACCTTCTCCTGCATCTTCTTCATTTGTTAGTACATACAAGTTCTCATGCTGATTGTTTCTGTCTTTTGGTTATTGTCGTTTTCCTAGATGCCTTTGGTTCTTTCATGTTGCACCATTAAGGAAATTGGGACAGAGTGGTGATGATTAATATGTTTTATTATGTATATAAAATCAATACGAGAATTAGAACTGGGAATTAATTAAGAACGGAAGAAATGAACCAAATGCAGCATTGATGTCAGCTACATCGTATATCCTTGTCTTATTTTCTGTCTTGTTATGATGTAACCTATTAAGAGTACCACCCTGTTATTACCCTCAGTTATCTGTCTGTAGTGAAATGTACGATATATAATCTTGCTTCCAATGGATCATCTTTTGAACTTTGAGATACCATGAACTGCTTGGAAACTAAATATCTTGGATCGATGCTGTATAGGGTTGTAGTCTCGGATCTTTCTCTGATGATATTGCCCGCATGCTGCAATTGTGTGAAGAGGAAGATGATGCTAGTAGTGCATTTGCAGAACCAGCATGTTTGAAGCCTGAATCTGCAGTTCAAAGCCTTTGCCCCGGAAATATTCTGGGGGTTCAAGAGGTGGGTTTTTATCTTTTGGAGTATCATTGTTAGTGCCTTGCCATATGTTTCCCTACGTGGTACCTTAACTTCTTTTCCATTGTGCTAAAAAGTACACATTTGTACTGGTGTTGTTTTATTTCTCTTTTGGTTTTTGTATCTCGTTTTCAATGATAAAATGCATAAGAATCTAGGAGCCAAATTGCTAATATATTTTCTAGTATGCTAAAAGCCATTTCTTAAAGCATGTTGTATATTCTGTTTTTCCCTTTTCGTTTTTGGTGTCTCCCAAGTGATGAGTGTATAAGAATGTGAGAGTCAAATTGCTAATCTAATTTCTAGTTTATCTAAATCTACTATTGAAATGAAAACTCGTCATTGAATTTCTGTTTAATTGTGGAAACTTCTCTTCTGCAGTCTATGGCAATGACTATTAATCTTAGCCTATAAAATATTAGCTGGCAGCAATACTTTTCTATCTGAAATTTTCAGAGAGAAGGGTAGATCATTAGTACCTCAATGTTGTATCAAGCCATATGTCTTAATGAAACAGGTTCCTCACAAGTGTATTGTTGTACCCATACACATCATGACTATAGTATGTGTATGTGTGAATAGCCTGGAAGGATCTTTCATACTAAATGATTTAGAGAGCTCATAGTTAGGGATTTTGGGATCTTTTTTCTTGCACCTTAGGTCGCAGCACCTTTGCCTTATAATTCATGTTCTAAATGTGTTGTGAAGTTCCAGCTGCTTTTTGCTTTAAATGAATATTAGTATAATGATAAAAGGGTACAGAGGGATATATTTTATGATGATTTCTCTATGCAGAACTGCTTCCATAACAATGAGGCACAGGAACAGAAATTTCAAGTATTTGATCAATGTAAAAGTCCTAAGTCTACTATGCATAGCACAATGGTCAACAATGCAGAGTTAACTCATCAGTTGGATTATGATTTACTAAATTCTCACAATGAATTGAACCACGAGCTCTTCATTGGTGCCAGTGATATCGAAGAGTGTGCAAAGGATTCTGGGCCTAATATTCTGCCGAGCATCCACCCTCCACCATCTGCTTTCTTACGACCAAAATGTTCTCTGTGGGACTGTACCAGGCCTGCTCTTGGATCTGATTGGTACCAGGATTATTGTAGCATTTTTCATGCTACTCTTGCTTTAAATGAAGATCCCCCTGGTACAACTCCAACTGTAAGACCTGGGGGTATTGGTTTGAAAGACAATTTATTACTTGATGCTCTTCGTTCAAAGACAGAGGGTAAGAATGTGGGGATCCCCACATGTGAAGGAGCTGCCAGTAGAAAATGTCCATGGAATGCCACTGGTGAGAACACAATGTCGAAATTTCTCTCTCTCACCCACTGGCACTGTAGAAGTAAAAAGGATAATGTATAAATTTTTCTCTCTTGTCATGGATGCCCCTTCTGCAATATGTTTAACTTTTACTACATGGATTATATCAGTTAGTTGTGTGGAACTCTGCCGTTAAACCCCTCTTATTAATTCTCTTTATATTGCAGAGCTATTTGATCTTGGTTTACTTGAAGGAGAAACAGTTAGGGAGTGGCTCTTCTTTGACAAACCTAGACGGGCATTTGAAAGTGGAAACAGAAAACAGAGATCATTACCAGATTACAGCGGACGTGGTTGGCATGAGTCAAGGAAGCAGGTGATGAAGGAGTTTGGAGGGCAGAAGAGGTCTTATTACATGGACCCACAACCACCAGGTTGCTTTGAGTGGCGTTTATACGAATATGAGATATATAGCTTTGATGCATGTGCTTTATATAGGCTAGAACTCAAACTTGTCAAAGAGAGAAAGAGTCCCAAGGGAAAAGTCAACAAAGATCCCGTGGTTGATCTACAGAAAAAGATGGGAAGACTTACTGCTGAGGTTCCTTCAGATAACAACAACAGATATGTTGTTAGAGGCATGCCAACTGAACATAGAGTGGTAAACAGAGAAGATATTAACCCTGGTCTAAGTGAAATGAACCCTACCGAAATGCCAAATTACAATTCAAGTTGTTCATAAAATCATGTAGATAAATCAACTGACCATCAAGGCACTTAATTGACAAGTCGCGACTGCTTGTCAGAAACAAACTCTGGGATTCGACACCAATCCTGCTGCCGATGGTACTGTAGAGTTGTAAGTAGTACTTCTGTTCATCAAAAAAGGTAGTAACTCTGATTATGTGATTGGTCTTGTTTCTTTTCAGGAGGCCTTTATTGTGCCAGAGATTATTACAGAGATTTAGTTGTTTACCCTTGAAATTTTACTTAGACTAGCCTAGAAAATCACCATTGTTTCCTTGATAAAAAAAAAAAAAAAAAAAAAATTAATACAATCTCACAAGAAGTTGAGATGAGCTAATAAAATCAACCATGTTCGTAGTATGTTATAATTTCTTGTAATATATTGGAAGCTGTTTTTCTGGTTATTGGTGCTTTTCCTAATGGCCGGGCGGCTACCTGGACTGTTGGGTTTATAGCGTCCATTATAGTAGCAGCTAGTAGAATATATATACATATATTTATTGGAAAAGACACATATCAGCCTGTTGAATCAATTTACAATATAAATAGTGTAGATGAATTAAGTTATTTACGTATTTTAATGTTTAATATATTTTAATATTAAATTCATTTTTGTTAAGAACATGATATATAGCTTGTTCGTCGTTGTTGATATAGCATTTCTTGTCCTCGTAAAATTGAATGCAATTAAAAACATAAACTATTTGATTGAAAATTATTTTTTAAAAAATACAATATATACATATACATATATTACACACACGTGCAAGATTATATAACCTATAAAGTTTTAATTATTCAAGACAAGAACCATAAAGGCAAGAGATCGGAAGAATCATAACAGGAAACAGATGTGATCGGGTGATGGTGGCGAATTCCGCCATTGTTGTCGTTGTCCTCTCGGTGTCTCCGACCGATGATTATATGAATATTTCAATATTTCTCCCATCACTTTCTTTTTCTTTGTTTTAAGTCAAAGTTTTTGTTTCTTTAGTTGTCTGTATATCTGAATCACTTACCCGACTTCATTGAAGTTTAATGAACTTTAATTAGTTCAATAGAAGTTTACATACATCACATATTTACACACAACAAAAGTTTAAACCCTGATCTACACATTTTTCAACAAAAACTTGAGCCACAACTTTATTTACCCAATATATATATATGTACATTTCATAATAACACAAACAAACATTTCATTGATTATGAAATAATATACACCAATCATAATACAATTTTTTAATAAAAATAAACAGAGACGTATATTTAAACTTTATATAAATGTTCGCTATCATAATAATAATAATAATAATAATAGCAAAAGCAAATGGCAGTTTAATTTAATTAATGCCGATGAATTGCAGTTTTGAGGATAAAACCTAAATGATTTATTGATAATTTGTTCTAGAGGAGCCTTTCTCATAAAATTGAGATACATATGATACTAAGGTTTTCTTTATTGCCTAAAATAGTTTCACAAGCAGAGCACTTTACTTACTAGCTTCAATTATTGGCGATGCACGAGGCATGTGACAAGCAAACTAACCTTGAACAGAAGACCAAGAATTCGCTTCAATCCAGTCGAAAGCTATGGGGCTCAAAAATGCAGCAGGGATGCCGAAGGAATCAACCAAGGCAAGTGCATGCGGTCGCAATTCACTGCACAGTTTTGAAACTTCTTTCCTCACTGCAGCAATGTTGTCTGCTGATAAATATCCATATCGAAGGAATGAAGGGTCTTCTTCCAAACAGACCAATGCATACATGGATCGCAATGCACTTAAGACGTTCTGCCCAACAAAGAAAGAAAAATGAAAGGCATATTCAACAGATAGATTTGTTTTCCCTTGTTATTAATTTTGTATTTTCTAACAAGAATAGCAATATGCTAGTTCCACCCAGATGAAATGGACATAAAATTCAACTGGAGAAGTATCTTCAGTTCATTTAACCCATACTGGAAATTTTGGAATCTGCAACTAATGGATGAGAGGAGCTTCCGAGAAGTGTAAAATTAATTTCCATCTAGAAAAGCAGGAAGTATATGATCAATCTTTCAATGAAGTAGTTAAACTCCCAGCCACATTTATATAACTGTTTTTTATATGATACCACTTCCTCCATCTACTTCACTATTGTTCAAATGCTCATATAGTTACCTTCAGTGAACCGGACGGCAAAGCAGACTCTGATTCTATAAAGTTTTGCAATATTGCTCTTTCGGAGAAAGCTCTACCCAAGTCTTCTGCCAGTTGATGACACTGAACGGAAGAACAAACACAATAAATGAGATTTGGATTAGAGGAGGACAGGAAAAGAAACTGCTTAACTAATGGAAGAGGATCTCACCAGCATGAAGGCATACTCTTTACTTTCTCCCTTCGCTTGATGCAGTGAGACCTCTGAAGCAAAACGTTGCAAAAGATCTCGCTCTCTTAAATAAAAAGCATCAATCTGCCATGGACAAGTAGGTGAGAACTTTCAACTAAATTTCAAAATGAATAATCTGAAGTGGAATTAGCAAATTACCATACCTGGAACTGGCTGCACCTAAGGGTAGAACTCTTAAGCTCAGATGGAATGACAGGGCAAGGCTTGTTTATATGCTCCAGTCCGAATGCTCTTAGAGGTTTATTTTTCTTCTTAGCTGATAAATACTCTGCAATGAGAGCCTTGCTTACCTGAACCCACAAGTTCATGACACAACATTGTTTCACAAACATACAGTGGAAAGAACAATACTTTGGATACATGTAGCAAAATTGTCTATTCAAGACCATAAGAAAATTATGTCAGAAAATAATGTCAGATGGCTGAATTTAGAATATAGCTGTTGTGAGATGAATATCAGGAAGACAACTCTGATGAACAAGCTGGCGTGCATGCTATGCACACATGGAAGACAAAAGAAAACTACAGGACGCATAATCCACTAGCGAGAAATGGTCTGGCAGAGACATCTACTTGACTACAAACCACGAGTCCAAATTCAAATCCAATTTAGAATTCCCCTGAAAAAGTTCAAGCCTTATCTCACCCCTTTTCTGTTGGCTGCTATGTAAATTATATTTTCTAGACTGACATTGTCTCATATTCTTCTCGTTTACATATATTTCGTGAGAGCACATCCATCCCTAATAGTTACTGCTTTCATCTTTTCCTTAAAAAATCTTCTTTATTGCTGAAGCAGCATAGCTTGACTTCCCAAATTGTCATTCTACATTGGGTTCACAGTTGAAAGTGAAAGGCATCCATGCAGGAGAGAGGTAAATAGATAACAATCTGTCTCGAAATCCTTTAATTCCCAACATTGAAAAATTCACCTTACCTGCTGCATCAACACATTATTGTCTCCCTCAAAAGTTGACTGGACGTCATATTCACCCTTCAAATGACCAACACGATTTTCAGTCTTCAAGCCTTGTCCTCCACAGGCTTCACGACATTCCTGAAAAGAGGTGACAGAATTTAATTGACGCCTTAACATAAATATTTCAATTCCATAGAGTCTTATCATTTCTGACCTGAAGCGTTTGCATGTTATGCCATGTAATCGTGGCCTTGAATGCACTTGAAACAACATGGATTGTTTTGCTTGTCTCTGGAGTCCTCTTCACATACAATAATTTCAAGTAATTTCCAGCAAAGCTCATAGCATATCTGAGGCAAAG